CGGGGGGGGCCGCGGGGCCGGCTGGTGCTGCCATGTGCCCGGCCACAGGACACGGGGGAGTTCATCTGTGACGCCAGGAATGCGTCTGTCTCCTACCACGTCTTGGTGGCAGGTTGGTGGCACAGCAGGGATGTCCTGCAAGGGCAGCGCTACCCCAGCTCGGTGACATGGGTACCCCAGTGCTGCTCCCTGCCCCGAGCATCACAGAGGAGAGGATGTGGTGGGTCACCCCAGGGCTGGTGGCTGCCGCCCCGCAGCTGGGCTGGCACCGTGTGCCCACCACCCCTGCCCTCACGCAGCTCCTGCCCCTTTGCGCTGGGGCGAGAGGCTGTAGCACCCAAGCAGCCCCACAGGGACAGGGACGTGGGTGATAGTAAGTGCGGACCACAGAGCCAGGAGCAGTGCGGAGAGCAGGTCTCACATCGTTCCTCCACATCCCCGGCAGAGCCACCTGTGAGGATCCTGCACCCTCCACAGCGCTCGCTGGAGCTGCCGGTGCGGGCGCCGGGGCGTGTGGAGCTGCGGTGCGAGCTCTCCGTGCCGGATGCTCCTGTGCGCTGGTTCAAGGACGGGCTGGAGGTGGACGAGACCGATAACCTGCTGCTGCTGGCAGAGGGGGCCTGGCGCTGCCTCCTCATCCCCAGGAGCAGCGCGGAGGACACGGGCGAGTACATTTGCGAGAGCAAGGATGAGGCTGTCTCCTTCGACGTCAAGGTGTCAGGTCAGCAGGGACCCAGGAGCAGGGAAGTGCTGGTGGGGCTCCGGCTACAGGGTCTTTCCCAGCCTGGGAGAGGGGGACCGGCTCCTCCATAGTGACGGAGCCGGTGGGTGCCCATCCCCCTGCAGCTAGGCCACCCAGCACGGGTGCTCACCTGGGGCTGGCAGCAGAGGTGTACCCAGGGCCACGTTGTCCTCGTGCTGCTTTGCATCGCAGCCACGTTGCCCTTGCAGAGCTGCCGGTGAGGATCCTGCAGCCTCTCAGACCTCCCCCCGTCGTGACGGTGTCCCCGGGGGAGACGGTGACGCTGGGCTGCGAGCTGTCCCGCGCAGACGCGCCCGTGCGCTGGGCCAAGGAGGGTGTCAGGCTGGAGGCTGGGGGCAGCCTGGGGCTGGAGGAGGAGGGTGC